AGAAGCTGCACATGAAGATGTGTTTCAATTTGTCGCGGCGGGTTTACCATCAGAGACAGAGAGACTCAAGCCGCAACTTTTTCTGCTGTCTATCCGCTTGCCGAGTGGCCGCAGCTCAAGTGCGATGCCTTTGCTCTTCTCCGTTCTACAGTGTACGGTGATGGTGCGACCACATGTCCAATGCCCAATCTTGTTCATCAGCAGATGAGAAGACAAGACCGTCTGATACCTTATGTAGTGAACTTGTGAACCTGTTGCAGTCGACCGCCACTCCCGTCTCGCCACACTGAACTTGAAAAATAAGGAGTCTGGAACTTCAATTCCGTCTGCTCTCTGGCTTCACCAAGATGGTGGGCCAGCAGAAATCTGAAGACACATCGAGTCGACGACCAAGGAATCAGAAATAGAACTGCATTAAAAGAACAGAACGGACTCTGTCAGGTAAATGAGAGTACATTGGTCATTGCGCCGACGCGGTACATGCAATGCAAAGACATGAAAACTGAATCCTACCTGTGTCTGCATTCCATCTGCATTCCGTATTTCTGTGATTCACGAAGCAGCAAGGCCGCTGCATTCTCAGTCACACCTGCCATCTCAAAAGCGAGACCAGAAGTTCATACATGTACAACCTTGAAGCAGGCTTTGCAAATTGCAAGGCTATTCCACTATTGGCTGTTCCGAGCCGATGCAAAACGGCACGTCATGTCTCTGTCGGGACCTCCTCTTCGGCGTACATGGGCTGCTCCATTCGCCTGATGATGCGCTTCACAGCTGCCGCATACACGTGCTGCAGCGGTGTTGTCTGATCTCGGGTCTATGCGGCACTGTGGCAATCTCTGGTGAAGACCAGCTGGGCATCTCCTTGTATGTGCAAGTCGTGCCAGGCTGGCACCCCGACAATTTTCTGCACAGACATCTACAGACACTGGAGAACGGTAGGTGCAGTGGCACGGAGCCGATTCCAGGAGCAGATCACAGAACATGGTCTGTAGCTGGTCCTTGTCCCATCCATCGTGGAAGGTGCTACCTGGACATGGTGACATGCTGCCCAGACTTGGAACCAGATAGACATGCATGCGAGGTATTGTTGTGGGCTGATATCCCAAATTCCGAGAAGCACCCGGAGCTGGGCTTCCAAACTCACGATGCTCCAAGGAGACATACTGGAAAGCAGCAGCCCATCCTGTGCTCGAAGCAGCTACCGGTGCCTGTTAAACAAACCTAAATGCACCATCCAAGGTCCTGCTCCCAACTCCGCGACCTGTCCACGGCGACTTTGTCGTCTGGCGTCCTCGAACTACTGTTGTTGATACTATTAATCCTGCATTACCTCGAATTATGATATATTCTTTCTTAAGGGTAATGCAGGATTTATATCACCAGCCGTACGTCTGTCATCACTTCGGGAACAGCTTTAGTCTGGCGGGCGCACGTGCTGTACCCCAGGCTCTGCAGCCAAGCGAGGCCGTCACATCTTAATGCGCAGTGGGTTAAATGTCCCCGCCTGTCTTCAGCGTTTCGGAGGATTGCCAATAGGTTACGACCTCTTGCACACACTGGACACTTCTGGGAATGACCCTGAAGGATTTCCGGTCGTGGCTCCAAGTTCAGCACGTGCATTCTCAACCTCCACGGGCTCTTTGAAGTCGAACTGTGCAAAGACCGCTGAATGAATCACATGACATGTGGCAAGCTGACGCATAGCAGGGGCCTGCGGCCGAGATTTTGAGCGGAGACAAATCACGTCTGCCTTGCTCTTCGGACACACTCTTGGTTTCCGAGAACGTACAGACAACTGAGCATCTGGCTGCTGGGGGGCGCTTTGTCACAATGAAGTGCTCGGCCAAACGCTCATCATCCAGCAAACATCCAAGGCCTAAGGTCAGCGAGGAGAGACAGACGGGTATCGCTTGGATTAAATCAGCACTTGCCGGCATTGAGGCGAGAACTGACATGACCAAGTGCGGTTTCGCTTAGCTCACGCTGAAAGCGAGCTCGCATCTCTACCTTCAGACGAGCTGACCTCTGCGCAATCTGAAATCTGGATGTGCTGACAGTGGACGCGGACACCAATCGCATGCCGAATTAGACCATGCTGTGCTTCCGGCATCATCTCCCCACCATTTTCAGCCAAAAGGATCCACAAATGCGAGATGAGATCCTCCCACAATCGAAAACAAACCTCGGCTGGATGCGCAGTTGCGAGCTGCAAAGTATAGATGCAGGAGTTGACCTGTTTGGACAAGCCGCTTCACCCTCACGAAGACTCGTTGGCAGATTGCATCTGGAGTTTTCCTGCTTCTCGAAGTCCTGCTCTTCGGCTCAGTTTGCCATGCTGCTCGAACGGTCTGCAACCGGCCTCCGACATGTGGTATGGAACCAATCGACCTTGACGCTTTCCAAGAACACTATGGCCTTGAGGTCACAAACGGCAGGTCTCCGCTTTTGTTTGGAAAGGTCTGTAGGTCTGTGGGGCTCTGACTGCTCAGCAGAAGGTTCACCAGCGCCATGGCACGGCCCAAACTGAGCTGTCGAAGAGAGCTCTTGCGGGCATTTCGCACCAGCCAGGCCTTGGCAGCGATCGTCGCGGTCAAATCAAGGCAAGGGAATCTGCCAAGGGAAGCTGCTGAGGCAAAGACGGCCAGTCTGATGCGCTCGTGAGCTGTCTCGCCCTCCTGTGGCCAGCCACCTTCACACCTGAACTCCGGCTGTGCTCGCAGACATCGCAGACCCGCCTCACTTGATGCTCATCCATACATCAGGCCCGATTAGGCTCTGACGCCATTTGAGCAGCTTCATCGAACGCGTCCAGTGGAATCTCAGAGCATAGGAATTCTAGTATTGTCTAGTCCAGGAACCACACCTGAACTCTTCGGGGCCTTGTCGCTCAAGTCCTCGGGAAATTCATGGAACCACTCCGGCGGATTCTTCAGCCGGACCGCAAAGCCCTTCCTGCCAGGACCGTGTCAACAATATCCGCACACCCTGCTCAGCCCTCAGACTTCCATCAATCCTCCCAGTCGTTGAGCGCTGGACCTCCAAGCAAGAAAAGGCTCGGGAGTCTAAATCCACCAAGCTCTCCTTCGCGGGGAAGCGCCAGATGGTCCGACCTGCAAGTGGCCCCGTGCCGCCGATGCAGCTGTCTGGATCTCCTCCCGTGGCACCAAGCTCAGGGATGATGTGTTCATGTCATGGGCACTGCAGGAATCCTCCAAGCTCGCCAGAGCTCCGTCAGTGGTGTGCCTGGGATGCAGTCGATCTTGTCAGCCCTCCCGACTCTGTATTGCCGGGATCGGCGCAACCACCATTGCAGCAAGACCTCGTGCTTTACAAAGCTGTGCGCATGAGGTTCTTGAAGTTGACGCCTCTCTAACTTCAAAGCAGATAGAAGGACGCCGCATCCTGTGGCAGAAGCTCCTCACGATAGAGTGCCTGTGCAGAGGGCCCTTCAACTTTGCTTGGAGGTCTCTTGGCGACACTGCACGTGCCAGGTGAGGTGGTGATGACAAGCTGATCGGCTTGGCATAAGTCTATGTTCCCAGACTTGTCTTCGCTACCCGATCACAACTCGCAACCGGCCTGCACCGCGGAAATGAGAAGTCCATGCTCCACGCTGTCGGCGGCTTCATGAATCTGCGTGGCGGTGTTCGGAGTCTTCGACCAACTCTTGGTGCCACCGCCTTTGGGCCACCTGGCGGCCGCAAGTCTTGAGACTCCCAGTGTTTTTTTTGGCCGCGGCTTCACAAGCTGAGGACGGCACGCATCGAATTCATCGGACACTTGCCATGCATGATGGCCTAGGCTTGCATTATAAAATCGTGAACCTCGGCCTGCATCCCAAGTGAGCAAAGCCACACGCACACAACCCCAGCAAGCCTGCTTGTCTTCATGCTGTCAAGTCTCCATTCCAACTGTCTGCCTTTGGCTTCTGCTTGTGCTGGGCAGCTCGCCAATCTTGCTTGTGATTCCAGGAGCTGCCTCGCTTTATCTTGTTGGGCCACCCTGCTTCAGCAGAGTTCTGTTTGCCATCTGCGGAGCCAGTTGCCATTGGTAGTGCATGCACCTAAGGAGTCGAAATCTCTCTCATCCTATACCACTTTACAAGCTCCCTGGTTGTCCACAGCGTTGATTCCGCCTAAGGACCAGGCGGGAGCAATCGGGATGACGAAGGACAACTGCTGGAGCCCAAAACTTGCAGTCAGCCAAAAACCGCATTCATCTATGTACGTATCAGTTGTCGGCATGACTATCACACCTCATTTCTCTTATCATCTGGTGCTCTCGCGCTTTCAGACGTGCATGTCCAAAACAACTGTCTGTCTGTCTGTCTGTCTGTCGGTCTGTCTGTCTGTCTGTCCGTCGGTCTGTCTGTCTGTCTGTCTGTCTGTCTGTCTGACTCTCTGTGTCTGTCTGTAAGTATGTATGGATGTATGTATGTATGTCTCTATGTAGGTATGTATGTATGTATGTATGTATGTATGTATGTATGTATGCATGTATATGTACGTACAGGTATATGTACATGTACATGTAAATGTATATGTATCTACATATCTGTGCATGTGTGAGTGTGTTTTCGTATGTGCGTATGTATGCTTCAATTGCATGTATGTGTGTATGCATGTATGTACCCATGCGTGTGTATGGATGTACGTACATACGTATGTATGTATGTATGTATGTATGTATGTGTGTATGCATGCATGCATGTTTTCATCTTGGCATGTACGTTTGTGCAGGCGTACATGGTTGCATGACACAAGATACATGAATACACATGTGCACTGTAGGTGGTTGTCTCATGCGTGCAGATGGGGTTGCAATTGTACAGGTGTGGATGGACGTGTATGCGCATGCCTTTTCTCATGTGGTTACCTAATTCACCTGCATCACAAACACATGACATGCACATGGTGCAGAGGTTGAAGTACTTCCCAGCATGTCGTACCATGAGATCAGGCATGCCGAGGTGAGAAACAGAAGAACTCGAGCGAATCCTGCTCGAAAGTCAAGGCCGCATCGAGCGCTGCCTTGGAGGTTTGCTTTGCTTTGCGAGGAGGTCTCTCTCTGTGGTTTTTTGCGGGCTCCAGAGCGAATTTCATCAAATGCCTGCGGGCGGCGCAGCATCCTTGTGAGGCTCCACCAACGATCACGCGGCGTGGGTCGCCCACACGCTGCACCTGAAGATACAGTCCAAACTATGAGAAGTCCCAGAGATGTCTGTATGAGACACCGCTTGCGCGGGCTTATGGGGCGCCTCTTGTCTCAGGAGCGCATGCAGTCTCTCGCGGACAGCAAGCAGACCTCCAGTTCTCCAGAAACGTTGTCAGAATCGGCAGTATCCGAGTTTTCCATCAAGGGATGCTGAAGGGTTTGACTGGGCATCGGACTCTTAGTGCAAATCTCATTCTCGGCAACTCCGCCCTGCGACAGCCCGTGGGTAAAGTGGGATAGAAACTTCTAAACAGAGACAACATGGGCAAGTGATCGAGCTGCACTGGGTGCACAAGCGTCGACCAAACTTGCAGCTTGGCCTTCCAAGAGCTAAGTCCTAAAATTTCCTAAAGCATCTGAAGCTTTGCGGGCTTCTCGTCTGGATGCACCTAGCAACTAGGAGTCGCGACTTCCTTCAGCTTCCCTCGTGGGTGAGTTGCAGACCTCTGCGCGTCCTCGTTTAGCTATGTTGGCGGTGGCAGGCCCGCAGACGCTTGTTCCATCACAGCCGACTCCTCTGTGCGGTTGGGGGTACCTGCACTCCTTAGGGGCCATCGTCATGATGCCCGTGCACGGCACGAATCAGCCGGCTTATACAAGATTCCCGTGCGGTCTACACTGGAAGAGTGGTTCTTCGAGCTCTTGGGAGACCTCCTTTTTCCCTCGAGATCTGCTCCCAGCTCTCTTGGCTGAGGTCGGCGTTCTGAAGCGAAAACCTCTGCAAGGAATTCTTCGGCACGGAGTCCAGAAGTCTGCAGCCCAGCCATGCTCATGCGCACGGCAACGGCCCAAAGAGCCTTGCTCGAATGGCACTTTCTGGGAGAGTTCGCAAACAAGTGCTGTCCATCTTGCTCTTCAGCTCATATTAAGAATGTCTTTCTCGTCTCCCTGCTGCAAGCTCCGACTTGCAGCCTTGCGGCTCAGCGGTACATGTGCGTCTGCGGCACGCAACCCTTGCCATCGGAGCAGAAGCCTGTTTCTGACCGTTGCGTGGTAGACTTTTTGGGTGCAACAAACCTTAAGCCCTCGATGTTTGCTTGGGTTTCGAACCCACAAAATCTTCAAGCCATGTGGAACACTATGTAGAATCATCGAAGGCATCTGATGCTACCGACTGCCATGCTTAAGACAAGTTTAAAATAGCTGAGACCAGCCAAGCTTCCAGGCTGGCAGTAGCAGAAGTAGTCCTGATGCTGATGGGGATGCACATGCGCAACATTGCACGGAAGCATGAGACCGCAAAGCAGCACTGCAGAGGAATGCTCCTCGAGGTTGCACGTTGTTGGCCCGCGTGACTTGGCGCAGCTGAAGACCATGCAAGAAGAGCCCTGTTGGATCATGCGATTGACTAGTGGTACGGGTTCACTGAAACTGAACTGAAAAGAGGGATGCAAACACGAGCTGCTTCAACACGGAGCTTAACGGCGTGCGATGCTCAGGTGAGGTGAAGTCTGTTGCTGGGCCAGGGATGGCTCCAGGAAGCGTAGTGGTCTACGTGCGATTGCATGCTGTCGCTTGAAGCAGCAATCACAACTCCACTCCTGGATCTTGGTCAGGCAGCCTCCCATGCCTCATCACTGACATTCAGAATTCAGAAGTCTGATGACGTAGTCTACAACATGCTACACGCTCTTGTTCAATCAGTCCAATGTCAAAACTCTTCGACAGTATCAGCCCGTGTCATGGCTGCCACGCTATTCGCAAGTGTCTCAATTCTGTGCATTCCCCTTTCTGGAACCCTTGCGGCGCCTAGGCCTGGCACTGAATAAGGGTTGCCACCATATGGGCTGCCGCCGTATGGGTTGAACCCGGGATTCCTGGGCACGAGGCTCTTCTAGTTCCGGATGCCTTCCAGCTCAAGGGAAGCGCGCCCATGAATCGGTACACCTAATGTTCTTGGCCAGGCTCATTTGCCCGTAGGGGTTCCCCCAGTAAGGGTTGAAGGCGTGCGGTGGAGGCGGCGATGGGCCCCATTTCTCCTTTGCTGTCAGATTGGTAGCATGTCACTTGAACAGCTGATGCTTGCGCACATCACTTCTTGCTCTGCCGGTGCTTGCAAGATCGGTCCGGTGCCCACGATCTGAGTAAAGATTGTTGCCGAGTCTTCGGACGAATCAACTTACCAGCATACTGCGGCGGAGCTGCAGCTTCCGAAGCCGTGTGTCCAACCTTGCTCTGCGCTTCAGCCTCAACCATCAAAGTCTGACATAGTCTGACTGGCTCTTCAAAAAGATGGATCTCTTTCTCTCTCACTTTAGACACTCGGCGCAAAGCCAGGGCGCTAATGACTAATCATCTCTTGAGTTTTATTCTTTCAGCTTGCAGCCTCTGCCAATTCCTCTTCGCCCTCCTCCAAAGCAGCAGCGAACTTCTCCACGCTGTCCTTTCCAGAGGTGAGCCGGTGAGACCCACAGGCTCTGTTTGCTGGACGAGCTTTGTCCCAGACGGGAGACTGCATTCCCCGTGGAAAGCTCATCTCCCCGCCGTGCACTGCAGAGATCACAGCCCTAATGATGTCATAATGATGAGGCCCGCTGGCCTCTGCCTGCAGTTGGGCAACTACTGCCTTCTGCTGCAAAGCGTTCAGGGCGCATTCCTGACAAAAGGCTTGTGAGGCGCTTGTGAGGCGGGGAGCTACTGGCACAGTGCGTGTTCGGCGACGGCTTCTACTATCCGCCTGGCCCGCAGCACACTCCGCATCGGCAGCCAAGACGTTGTCCATGTCTGCCATGTCCGTCGACATAGCAAAGGAAATTGCCTTTTACCGTGCATGTGAAGAATGCATGTTGCTTCAAGGTCTAGCACTCCAATGTCACAAACCAACGATTGCATGCGAGAGCTGAGAGCTGTAACTGCAAGTCAGCGGCTGTCACAGATAACGCGAAAGTCAGTGCCTTCGCCATGACAGTCCTCGACAGGATGGTGAGTCTATATGATTCTACGTGCATTGCATACCTCTCTGATCCTTTCTGGAGGCATCATAACATCCAGTCCTAGCAGACTGCAGCCAAGCAGCAAACACAAATTTAAACGCTGTTGCGTATAGGCGTAGAGTAGAGCCAAGAGAAAAAGGCTGGAGCAAGCCGGATTCATGATGATCGCGTTTATGGCTCACATGTCTCGCTGGATCTAATCATGTACGTGCGAGTGCTTCAACTGACAGGATCAACCGCCACCGAAAGATTTATTGTGAAGACCTCGCAAGGCTTCTGTTGGGAGCCCAGTGAAGTTCTACGCACAGGAAGGCACTGCAGATCCAGTGCAAAGCTCGGCCTTGTCGGTCAGGTAATCGAACCAGGCGTTGAATTTGATGCGGCGCCTTAGCTTCTGCACGCGTCGATTCATGTACGTACGTGTCACTGCGTTGCATGACAGAGTCAAGACAAGCACCTCTCCTGCAGCAGCCACACCTTGTCTATGCCCAGTCCATGCCTCTGCTATGTACTAGCTGAGGATGTCTCCATTGCAGACGCTCGCCGCGCCAAACGTACCAGTCCTACAAGGATGACTCACCACAGACAGAAGCCACCATCTTTACAATTGCAGCACACTCAAGCATTTACGTGACATGCAACGTAATCTTGACCTCATATTTAGAGTATTCCCCCTAGCATTGCAGAAGTCGGAGAACCTAATTAGACCCTCCGCCGAATTGCAAAATCCGAGGCGGCGAGGCGGATACAAAAAACATGGATGTGATGTAGAAACTGTTCGGCACTCAGACCATAGCACCGGGTCTGAGCCAGCCAGCCCCAACATCCGCCCAACTACCGGAAGGGGGAGCCTGGGTCCTAACGGGAAGGGGGGCGGGGGGTTCTAAGTATGAAGTGAACCATGGTACCCTCAAAATACAATAGAATACAGACACAATTCATTGTGAGTTGCAGGCACGCTGTGCATTCTCCTTGAAGCAGTGCTGTTCTAAAAGCGGCGCAGTGGGTACAACCACCCGAACGTTCGCCCCGCAAACCTTAGATCGACCCTCCGACGACAGCAGCTGCTGCAGCACACATCCATGCAAACCGGTACTGCTGGGGCTCTGACGTTGAAATAGTGTGGAAAATCAAGGTAGTCTGTACCTGAGCAACGGACTTCACTCACTTCGAGCTTGTCAAAGACCGCGGTCATGCTACAGAAGCTACCGGTATGAGTCGAGCAGATAAACTTGGCCAAGTCCGCTAGCCATTCCGCAAAGGCTAAGACCTAGCTGCCTACATGGCTTGCACAGACCGAGAGCATTTCAGTATGATTCCTTGCAGAATAGCAGGGGCACCTTTCTGGCTGAAGGAGTGCAAGTAGATGAACGACCACTGCGGCTCCATGACCGGGCCACCTTGGGTGCAGGTCCAGAGCCAGGACTACTTGGAGACTTGAGAAGTGTGAGGGACTAGGACGCTCGTCGAGCTGGAGACTCAGCTGCTTGAGAATCATTCTTGCTCTGCCACCCCACAAAACTGTGAGTCCAGGCCTTTGCCATAAGACAGTTACAAACTCTGCATGCGTGAAACCGCGCTTTAGAACTCCGCAGGAACGCTTTACGCACCCCCAGGGTCTGAGAGTTCTTGTGAGGGGGCTTCTCAAACCGGGTCGGCTTCGCAGGAGAAGTGTCCAACGCCTCAGCCGTGATGCTAGGCACGCAAATTCCGTGGGACCGGATTTAGATCGATGCACGCTTTGCAGGCGCAACACCACTGGCATGGATCTAGGACGTTCGCTGCGACTGCATGAGATTACCGGACTCGGGTATGGGTATTGAATCTGGTCGTTCTGATTAGGCTAGTCCAAAGCGTTGATATGTGGATTGGCGATGAAGCGCAGATTGCTGCTAAATGTACTAAAAAAACTTTGCATTCAAATTTCTAAACCTCACGACCTCCAGTGCCTGCAGAACTCCGAGCTGCGAACTTGGAGGCAACGTGTCAATCACGATGCTGGATTTGAAGGCGGACTTTTTGCCAGCCTGTAATCCAACTGTCCTGTCCAAATTTGCACACTCAACCGGCAAATACGGACAAGACCTCCGAGTCAGCAGGAACACTGCGCCGCCTCCTTGAGACAATCGCCCTCGCTCTCTGCAGCGCAGCAGATCGCTCCACAGCGTAGATGCCCCTGTCCAAGCTGAGCTCAGAGCCCAAACAACGACTGCAAAGGCAGCCTTTCGGAAGGATGTCTTCTCAGGCGGAAGAGGCCGCCATACCTGCACTTCTGATATGGACGGCAACGCCACATACATTGCACTGAGCTCTGGGCTCATGCCATGTCAAGAGCCTCGGCCAAATCAGCTTTCAGACGGGCTGAGATTGCACGGGCTACTGTACATTGACATGCTTCCTGCAAGATTTTAGCCTTCATGCCTCGTACGCTACTTCTTATACTTCTTTACTTCTTTCAGACTCCGTTGGGCCCTGGCCCGCTCTGCTCTTCGAAGCCATGGAGGTTTTGGACTCGAGCATCCCCCTCGCAGACAAGAACTTGAGACGACCCAGGCAGCCCAAGCCCCTCCAAGCGTTCCTATCTCGTGTTCATTGACGGCCCGGAAGCTTTGCATCTTCGAAAACACAAGCTGCAAGCTGTTACGAGTGGCAGCCATGGCCTGACATGGCCTGACAGCCTACCGAAGCTGCGGGCCATCCTGCCTGCTCGTCCATAAATCGCACCCCCTGGGGCTTCCAAGCAGCAGGTGCCGGCAGTAGTTTGCTGTCCACCCTGGCCGAGGGTGCAGCATCTCACGCATCTCTCCGCGTCATTGTCACACTCGTTCTATTTGGCTCAAAAGTCTCACTGCCTTCTGCTCTGAGACAATTTCATCAGCAGCTCTGATGCTTCCGGGACCTCATTTAGGTACTGGATGCTCGGCAGCAATGTCGAAGGTGCTGTGTCTGAGATTCTGGCTGAGGGTAGCTGGAGGCCCGGGCGAAAGCCTCGCAGCCACCGAAGCCAGGCCTCAGCCACCCCACTTCTCACAGCATCATTCTGACGCCTGACCCACTGCTTCCAGGCGGCCTCAGCCTCGAAGTGGGCCCCTTTTGTGTAAGCATACCTGCCACCGCGCCAACGGCTCAAACAGTCGTGTTACCGCACCAAAAACGTTGCCGAGGCTGCACCGGATAGCGATGTGTCATGACCACAAGTCGCTTCAACAACTGTCAGGATCCCTGCAGGTCGGAGGCGCACAGGTTGGGAAGCAGTCTCTGCGCATGCCTCGGAAATGAGACAACCGGTCAGCTCTGTCTTGTCTTTTGAGTGAAAGCTGAAACCGTCGCAAGCTACAGCCGGCGGGATGCACACTTCACTTCAGAGAGGGCCACGAAAGCCAGTGGGACTAGGGCTGAAGGGCTGCGGTCCGTGCGGCTCTCTCTCGGTGGTGCACACCACAACATGGAGCCGCAGTAGCACTCAGAAGTCCGCTGTTCTGTTAAGGCCGGGAATCCTCCAAATGATCTATTTGCGTCAAGTGCAAAATAAAGTGCAACTAAAGTGTAAATGTAAATGTTCGGAGCCTCGGCTGGAAAGTGTGATAGGAGTGTCAATAAAGTGCAACTGGAACGGGTTGAGCGTGTAAGTAAAGTGTAGAGAAAGTGTAACTAAAGTGCACATACAAGTAAAATGCATACTCGTCACTGGTCATCACTGGTCACTCGTCGCTCATCACAACAGATCCGGACGTTGCCTTGGTGCCTGATCCTTCACGACAGAGCCTACGCCCCGCGAGGACGATGATATTCTGGGATGCTAGACTATGGCGGTGGCGGTAGATAGAGGATTTTGGGACGTTGCGCAGGGGTGTATGTACGCTGTATGGTCATTATAGAGCCGTCGCCTACGGGGCCTACCGCACATGTAATGGCCTTGGTGACCCCCGGTCTGATCCCCAGTCACATCTTGTTCACACTTCTTTCGCACTGAACCGCACCTGAGACTCCGTCCTAGAGAGGCCGGAATTACACTATTTCTACACTTTGTCACATGTTTTGCACTTCTTACACTTTCCCAGGCACACCTGGGAATTCCGGGAAATAATGTTTTCCTTGGGAGGGGTGTCAAATCAGTGCAAAAACTCCAAACAAGGTGTGAACAAACTGTGCCCGCGGGCCTCTGGATTGGGTGAAAAGTGTGAAAAAACTGTAAACATGAGAAACAAGTGTAAAAAACGCGTTCTGCCCCCCCTTGCAGCTAGTTCGGAAAAATGTAAAAACACGTTGCGGCCAAGCATTTGTGCAGTCTCGGAGGTCTTTCTCCCACTTTGACTCTATCCGGGGTGTGCGCCCAACAACCCGTCTCGACGCTCAATCCACACAGGAATCAACTGGACCGCTGCGTCTGTTTGTGCTGGTGTAGCATCGTAACTGCTGCGCACAGCGGCAAAACGCACATACATGCCGGGCACTGCAGCGGCTCGGGAACCCGTGAGGTATGATTGCAAGTGCGGTGTAGCATGATTATCTTCTTGTGCACTTATGTTTACACTTTATTTGCGCTTAGTTTACGATCGTGCCATCTACTTGCCGCGGTTTCTGCTTGTTTTCTGTCTGCTTCTCGGGTGTTGGGGGGGTGGGTGGGGGGGGCTAGCTTCGTTCTGTCTGACGATGTCCGTTACCGAGCAGTCCTAGGAGTAGCAGTGCTACTAGTTGTACTTTTAGTTCTGCTGCACTAGCCACCCTTGCTCTGCTGCTGCTGCTGCTGCTGCAGCTGCCACTGATGCTGCAGCTGCCACTGCTGCTGCACCTGTACTGCATGGTTTCACAACCATGTCCTCTCTAGTTAGTTTGCGTTTGCAGACCAAGATGCCTAGCTGTGCCAGTCTTTTCTGCTCAATGTAGGTTTCGAGCTAGGCTTTCTCACGGCATGCCTCTGAAGACTTTCAAGCTCTGCTTCCAAATTTAAACCCGACATCCCACGACCTTGTTTTCGCTTCGGCAAAACAACGGAAAAACACCAATTCCAGAGATGAAACAATGACGAAAGAAAGAACCGAAAACTGTAGAGGTTGCGCAAGGCTGTCTCCCAAAACAAGAACTGATAAAGCAGAAATCATCGTTTCACTTCGGTAAACCTGCCATTTCGCCCTAACGCCCCTAAGAGACTACAAAGGCATGGCAACACCGAAGCCCCACAAACCCAAACCTCGACCGAAATCCAAAAAGGGCGTTTCATCCGGAAAATTGTAAAGACATGCTGCCGGACAATCAAGCCATCAAACGCAAAACCTCGTTTTAGCCGTGGCAAAACCACCAAAAACACTAGCTCCAAAGATAAAACAAAGACGAAAGCCAAGGTCCGAAAACTTTCCATTTTGCGCAAGGATGTCTCACAAGACAAGAACTAATAATCCAGAAACCATCGTTTTACCTCGGCAAAACTGCCATTTTGCCTTAAAAGCACCCGTGCTATCGCGCGGGTCGCTTCATGTGGCCTTACCTTACTTTTCAGATATTTTCAGTTCATTGTACACTGTGCTGTACCCTTTTTTGACACATGTAATGTTAACTTGGCAATGATAATCCCCCCTCAATTATAAAACCCGATCTCCGGAACTCAAATAAAACCCCCCTCAATTATACTACTCAACCGTAGGAACTCAATATTGAACCCGAAGCCCCGGAGAGAAGGCCTTTACCGTGCTCCGAAACAATCCCCCCCAAGAGGATCCCCCTCAATAGTCAATCGCCCCCTGATTGGGGCCGAAATCTATCTCGGGGGGGGGGGGGTTATTAAAGCGAATTAACATTAATTGTTTGACTGCTATACAGCGTTAACAGAACCAGGCCGTCATAACAGTAGCACACGGAGACACTCTACGGAGGACCACGGCCTCCACGAACTCAGTGCAGGCCGCAAATCGGTTGCCCCCCCCCCTCTCCCGCCTGCTGCCAGCTTGTTGGTTCCGATTCATAGGCCCTAGCATGTCTTCTTAGCTAGCTCCTTTCTGATTTGTCGACACCTCCAGCAAGCTCCTGAAGAGCTAGTTTCGTGACTGGCGTTCTGGGGATCGCGCTTTAGAGTGAGCTGACGTTTCTCCTTTGTGAAGACATTGATGGCGCTGGGGGAAACCTCACAGCAGCCCATGGGACTTGACATTAGAAGGGACCGACATCGGCTCTAGAACTCAAGAAAGCTGACAAGCTGCCTCATGAGACACGTTCCTGCTACTGAATGGTTGCTCAAGTGGCTTGAGCGCTCAGATTTAGGCCTTGCCACGCAGGCGTCTCTTTGGACTTGGAGGCAGCACCATGGCAGGCTTTCGAATCGGAACCCCCGAGCTGCAAAGCACACGCTGGTCGAAGCGAAACTTTCCGAACTTCGCTGGCACTCAAATGGAAAAAAGGAATGTGCTGCTGCAAAGACTCCCAAGAACGAAAACGAAGCCTGACCTTGATCCAACGTCGGACAAGCCCCTTTTCTAGCTGACCTCGGAGAAGCGAGCCGCTTCCCCCTTCCAGAATAAGTTTACACATCGCTGGCCAAGGGCACATGGGAGCAGCAACATTCCCCGGAAGAGCTGGCTGGGCGAGTCAAGCAATGCAGAACCGGTTTTGCTTTGGCGAGACTCCTATGGCCGGTGATGGCAACCTGCGCTGCCGTCAACCCACAGCTGATGAATTGCGAACCTCAGGTGCTGCTATGCATCCCGGGCTTCAATTTCAGCGTGCTGCCGGGCCGGTCAGGGCAAATGCGACGCCTTGCAAAGAGCCGTCGCTATTGGCTAGTGGAAAGAAAAAGGCGATTTGCAGTTTGCGTTCTGGGAAGCGTGTGAGTAGTCACCGTCATAACGTCTCGAAACTGGAACAGCAAACAAAAAATCCATTGCAACAAACTTGCCACCGCTCCGCACTGCGGAACTTCATCAACTGAGCTGCACTGTCAACGTGGCTGAAGCCGCGGATCCCTCTTTGAGGGATCTGCGCTTTGTTGCCGAAGCTGCGTCTCACAGCCAAATGACAGCCTGTAGCAAAGAAACAGGGCAATATCAGGCAATGCTGTGACGTAGAAGACAGCATGTTGTGGCCAAAGTGCTGAATGGCGTCTGTCCGGTCCAACTGTCCCGTGGCGAAATCTGTCCATAGCTTGATGAGACTGTCGCAGATTGGAATTCTAGCTTCTAGCTTCGTGCGCAGTTTTAGTTTTGGCATTGAAATACAACGAAAAACAGATAAACTTATTGAGCCTGGGCCGAAATCAAACGGTCGGCTCCGGCTCCGTGTGCTCCATGTCCAAAGGCGCCTGGCATCCGAACGCGGCATAAATACAAGCTGCATGCTACAACCGTCGGTGTGGCAAGGCTTCCATTAGGAGTCTATCGGGTGCTGCCAGTTGCCCTTGTCAGAAACTTGATTCCGAAACAGGGTAGTACATCATGAGTGGTCACATACCGACATCGACACGACAATCAAGCAGACCGAACCGTTCTGATTTCCATCCACGTTGTAAAGTAACAGCTCTTGTATGGATTCCGCAAGACTGCAACGCACATCCAAAGGATTCTTTTACCTGCGCGCCACTAAGCTCAAGGCCTGTGAGTATCAACGCAACGGAATGCACAAGGTTCAGACAGCATCAGGAAAGTAGCAGCTATGCGAGACATGATTCACAGCCCCCTGAAAGAAGAAATTTCCTGATGCATCCTCCCATTTCTGGAGTTTCTGTCTGTGCAAACCTTGCCGACCGCTCTGCAACGTTTGCTGCTCGTCGGCTATCACAAAAGATGAGCTCTTCAAGAGACGCACTAGAGGCTCAAGGTGCGCTCCAGGAAACTTCGTGAGGGCGTCTGCCGGGTTCAGATTGTGGGGAACCCATCTTGCACGACCCTTGCAAATCTGCAGACTCTCCTTGATCACGGCCACCTCGAGGTTGGATCGGTCGCACTCGCCGGCCTGGTCGTTGAGGATCGTGTCGAACAGAGCCTTGGCGTCAATGACGACGATGCTTCGGGGATCTCGGAAGAGGTCGGCCTCGTCGGAGATCACCGTGGAGCGGCCCTGAAGTTCCAAAACGACCTCCTCGTGACGTTGGCGTTGCCGTGGATCATAGTTGGAGAGTCGCAGGGAGTCCCATGGAGCATCCTGCTTTTCCAAGCATCCTGTAGCCGCAGAAAGTGACAGAGCCTCGCACAGCATAGAGCTTTGCGCCTTCCGCCTCAACCGCCGAGATCTCCACATCATCAGGCTGACCGGGGCCCTGACACCGGAGTTGAGTTCGTTGTTCGTGAAGCCCAGCAAGTAGCCGTGTTGGGACTTCTCGCGGCCCGAGGTGTCAAAGGCAGCATCGGAAATCAGCAGGTTGCGGATCTTCTCCTCCGGAATGGAGTGAATCCGCAGCTTCACTGATAGTGTCGACGGAGGGCTCAGGAAAGGCACTAGCTAGCACACTTGCCGCAGCGGCGGCATCCGGTCGTCCTTCCCGGCCGACCCAGGTGAGCGTAGCCAGGACACCCCGCAACTGTGATTTCTCGTTGTCATCGAGGGGGCTGTTGCAAGCATCCTTCTTGAGCACCTTTCGGCTCATCACCACTGGTGACATCCGAGTATACACATACTCGTGCATGTGCGACTCGAAGCTGAAGTCGGCCAGCTGCTTGAGGGACTTGCCAGCGTAGGAGGACTCCTTCTCCTGCAGGTTGACGACTTTGCCAAAGGTGACCTCGCCCTCCAAGGTGTCCATCAGTTGACGATGTCTCTCATCGCCGCCCTCAATGATGTCGTCCACCTCGATCACCATCACGCCCTGAGTTGACGAGTCGGTCTTCTCATTGGGCAGAACCAACACACACGGTTCATACGGGCATACCTTGTAGCCGAGCCGTCCGGTGCGCTGGAGAAAGCTGGAGCGCCACCAGGACGGCCCCGACACCAGGCCGTAGACTTCCGTCAGCAGCATGATCAATTGGCGCGGGTCCAAACCTGGAAGTGGTTCATCGCGAGGTTGACGACACACCAACGGAGTTTTCCTACTCGTGGGCCGCGACTGCAAAAATGCAGTTTTCACGTCTTTGACCCGAGCAGCCCAACGCCTGCTGGCGCACAGTTGGAGTACGGTGTTAACGGCCGCCCCAGACGGGGTCGGAGCTGACCGCTCGATCTGGTGTATGTGGGGATCACCCCATCCAATGACGCACCAGCGTGATTTGGGTTGACTCCGATCCTCAGTCATCTCGAGAGGATCCATCTGACCATGCTGGATCGCCGCTTGCTTGGCCATTTCAATGTCCTTGGCAGCGATTTCTTTCGGCTTAAACCGATCTACGAATCTCGAATTGAGAACATGTTCCGGATGGAGCCGCTCGAACTCCTCCGACTCCTTGATCGAGAGGACGCGGATGGCCTTGTTGTTCAGCAAAGAGTCGAACTCCTTCTTTCGTGCGCTGCGAAACTTCTCCCGCTCCTCTCCCTGCAACCGGGAGAACTCTACCTGGCCAAACGAAGTTTTGCTCTTCGTCAAATACATGCATCGGTCTCGGGCACAGTAGCTCCCCTCAGCTTCATGAGCCTGGAACTGGACCTTTGGGGAGAGCGGCTCGAGGTGTCGACGTCCAGTTGTTTGCAGCTTCACCCACCTTGGCTCAGACACCGCCACGTAGTTCGCGTTGGCCATCTCAGGCACATCAAACTGAGGACGACCTCGAGGTAATTCGAGGGCTTGATCTCCTCGTCCAGGAAGTCGCCCTTCGCGTAGTACGGTTGGTGCACGGGAGGACCGCGCCGCTCTCGAACAGGTCCCAGGAGTAGAGCCCCGTCGTGGGCTTCGTCCACGCGTATCACCGACCGCGGTTCCACAGGAGGCGGTGGTAACTGAGGTGGTTCGGTGGGAGCGGCTGACTGTATGCTCTGTCGTCGACTGAAGTTCGGCTCAGAGAGAGGGGCCACTTCACTAGCCATCTCACCTGCCGTGGTCGTTTCATCACCCCGTGGTGCTGCATGAGGTTCGGGAGGATCAGGTTCGACAGGAGGGGCAATGGACGGGCTGTAGTCGAAGTCCGTGTCCTCGAAGATCTCGGGAAAGATCTCCCCGGCAGTCCGATCAGGAACTCCTTCGAGGGTGACGTCCTCGTACCCGGTCCGAATGCCCTCGCGAACCTGCTCAAGGAGGTCTCGGTGAAGCTCGGTCACTAGGGATGCACCCAGATCCTCCTCCGAAGACGCCGGGCGCAGCTGCTCAGCCGATACCTTCCACAATCGGCCTCTCATGTTGATCCACCAAGAGTTCCCTCCTGGAGTCATTGCAATGAGAGCTCCAGGTCCGACCCATCCATAGCGGTTGTCCGTTTTCCGCCACACGTAGGCCCATTGACCTGGTTTGAAGCTAAAGGAGTGAACATCCGACCGTCGGGTAAGAGCTGAAGCGGCTCGGTGAACCGACACAACGTCGTCCTCCTTCAGCCACGCTGAGCGAGCGGCATCTCTGATGGCCCAACTTCGCTGAACCAAGTCCCCTGCGGAGGCTCGAACCATCTCTTGGTCCCATTTGTCCGTTGCCATCAAGGAGCCCGGAAGTCGAAGGGAAGGACCGAAGAGCCGTTGGTTTGGTGAGAAGCCGTGCCGATCGTACAGGCTGTTGTGACCCGCCACCACTTGGGCGACAACCAAATCAATCTCTTCAGCAACGGCTGAGGTCTCTTGCATGACCGTTTTCATCTTCTTCTTCTTCACAGTCCCAATGGCCCGTTCAGCCCTTCCATTTTTCCAAGGAGAAGAACCGTCGGTAAAGTGCACCGCTGCGCCCATCTGCGACATGTACTCCACGAACTGCTCGCCCGTGAACTCTGGCCCTTGATCGCAGATCAACAACTCTGGGACACCGAAGGTAGCTATCCAGCACTTGCTCAGCGCCTGTCTCACCGTCAAAGCTTTGGCGTCCGAACACTGAGTTACTTGGATGTACCCGGTGCCATAGTCGATGCACAGTAAGAACACCCGCTCGGCCCCGAACATGTTCATGTAGAACAGGTCCACCGCCACGATAGCATTGAACTCCAGGGCCTTTGCCAGGTGTGCCGGTCTCGCCGGCAACGAGTGTTTCGAGGCTTCGCACAGTGGACACGCGAAATGTTCTTTTATCCACAGCAACACATCTTCTCGAACACCAGAGTGGCGCAACGCTCGGAGGAACACATCCTTGGCCGGGTGATTCAAGTTCCTGTGCACCTTGAAGATTTCTCGGCGCAGCTGGGGATGCAATGAAAACCGTCCCGTCGCCTCGTGCTTGCGGTAGTCGTCCATAGCTTCCATGGCCTTTGTCACCTCCGAGTTTTCCGTCACCGGTCGCAAGGCACTCTGAACTTCTCGAAGGGCTTCATCACCGTCTTCCTGTTCCTCGTCATCCACATTCATGTAGCTTGAGGTTGGACATGCTGAGGTCGTAGATGCCAAAGAAGCTAAGAGCGCCAGCTTCCCTTCCCCATAGAGAGAGAAAGCAACCTCAGAGCGCAACACAAAGGCCGTTTGAGCGCGGACAGCCTTCAGTAGCCCTTTAAAAGCCGCCCGATGGCGACTGGCCGCCGCCTGCACGTCCTGAGTCGACGGATGAGTGCCGCCATTCAGAGCCTGGCCATGACACAAACAGTGCAGGAACGACCGAACACACAGCTCGAGCTCCTCAGGATCCGGAGACACCCAGGCACATGAGCGCCAGTCGACCGTGCTGAAGATGCGGTAGAGCGTCTTGTCGTTGGTGAGTACATGCAGCTGGGGCCCGGCCTCACACAGGGACATTGAAGTCGCTGAAGCCGATGGCAGTTGCCGTAGAAGTCCTCGACGAGCTTGTGTCTTGCACGCTAAGGCGTAGAGTCGCCCGTTCGCCTCCTGCTCCCGAGCGATGGATAATAGGACTTCCCAGCTGCTCCCGGACACCCAGCCTGTGACAAAAGCTGGACAACACTCCTTAACTGCCTGTAGTGCCCGACCTCGGTCATGTCGTTGACGAAAATCCCACGCAAACTGGAAACTGAGTGCACGATGACCATAGGCACCGGTGTCCTGCAGACCTTCATCACGGACTTGAGACGACACTGGCCATGACTGCACCTGATCTTGGGACGACACTGGCCATGACTGCACCTGATCTAAATAACGGACCCTCGTTGGTGTAGATCGCTGTTTTCCGACTTGATGCACGGAAGTGGTCGTTGACGACGAAGTCACTGAACTCTCCCCGCTCATTCGGTCTGCCATTAAGACCCTCGTTGGTGTAGATCGTTGTTTTCCGAGTTGATGCAAGGAAGTGGTGGTTTTCGATGAACTTTCTTGCCCCGCGGGCACTTGCTGTAGTTGATGTTCTGGTTCACCATTCTCGTCACAAATCCTTTCCAAGCTTGCAATCACGAAGGTTTTCAGGGGTTTGTGCAAAGAGCTCACTGAATTGCAAAAGAAGTTGCCGAAGTAGAGGTCATTGTACTCCCGTCCCGGCAACCGAAAAAGAACATACTCGAAAGTCTTGGACTCATCACCTCGTAGAACTCCGGCCTCCAGCCGGTAGAATGGCAGCTTCGATGTTGTTGAAGCCGCCGGCGGTGACACTTGTCCAAGAGTCGACAGGAGAATTGCGAGGCCATAGACGGGTCTATAGCCTCGTTTTGCCATTGAGCGACGAACAAAGGAGGGAGCGCTCTCCAGCATTACAAAGGTCGTAGTGCTCGTGGTGCTTGACGTGTTGGTCTCTGGCTCTTCTAGAGCTCGTCCTGATCCAAGTTTTCCACCATGGCAAACGAGCTCGGCGTCTTGTCCACGCCGTGCTCCGTGTCGCTGTCCTGAAGAGCAAACATCTCGGTGTGCTCCTGTTGTACCCGAACCTGACGACGGCGGGAGCGGTCCTGGATTGGGTATACTCCCGCTGGAAGACTCCTGGACCGCCGTGGGGTTATGCTCGCATCCTTTTCCATAGGTCCCGATGTCATCCTCCCGGAGCCGTAGTCCGCCCACTCGCTGGGTTGGTGCTGCATCATCCTGCGAGCGTCGACTCGATCCACCTCTCGCACTGGAGCACCTGGGCGAAACACAGCGATTGCCCGTGTCGAAGCGGACCCCTTGTCCTCGCGGTTCTGGGAGTGCTCGGCGCGGTACTCCGGCTCGTGGGTGAACATCTCGTCCGGATAGTCCGCGTCCTTCATCGCGACGTCCTTCTTGGAGTGGATCGCGCCCTTCACCTCGGCGTTCTTCTTGGCGTGGATCGTGCCCTCCGGGTAGCCCGTCCCCGAGGATTCCCGCGTCGTTGTCCCTGATCGGGTACTCGTTGGTGTTCTCGATGGTCGGGTGCGAGCTTGCTCCAGGGTGATCGGTCCCAGACTTGGTCCCGACCTTGGTGGTGGTAACATGCGAGGGGGCTCGGTGCTGCGATACACTGGACGAACTTGTTCCGGAAGTGCACCTTGTCCCGGAGTCACTGTCGCCGACTCGGTACGTTCCCACCGGCTCCCGCAACTCAGACACACCCACCAATGCTTTGCCCTCGATGTGCTCGCACTCCTCCGGCTCCTTGGGCCAGTGCTTCTGAGTTTGGCTGCGAGTCATCTGGCTGCTCAGCCCTTGCCGTAGAGGTCGCTGAGGTCGGTCCTTTCGTCGTGGCGCCTGCGGTACCGTCGAGGATGAAGATGCTGCGTCCTGTGCAGGGGCCACCGTCAAGGCATCGATCACCGTCTGGTCGCGAGTCGTAACGATCATGCGGACGATGATCCGCACCAATCTGGCCCATGCCTTCTGGCACCAGATCGATCCTCGTGGCCTGCGTCCCGGGCGCTGAGGATCGGCCAACTCGCCTTGCACAAGCTCTTGCGCTCGCTGCTGCATGGCACGAAGTGATCGCGAGGAAGGTCGCCAGCCGAGTGAACATTGAGTGCTCCTTGTTCCATTCTCGGGCCCAGGCAACGAAGAAGGCCGAGTGCTTTGAAACACCACGCTTCATACTTGCTTGCACTGAAGTGAACACATCGCGACTCTTCTCTCGAACTCGCTGCCACACATCAACCGCATGATTTTGTAGGGTGCTCGACTCAGGCATGCAACCTGCCCCAACCGAAGAGAAAACACCCTCAAAGTCATGCTCAGCATCGGCATACGACAGCACAAACTGCTGAGCCAGGCTGGCCTCGTCTGAGGTCGACCGCCCATGCCGCAGGAGCGCCTGGCCGGTAGGAGAAGAAGGCATAGACGCAAAGCTTGGGGCCGTAGGAGAGGTAGTAGATGTCGTGCTGGGCTCGGGGCTTACTTGTTGGAAGATCACAGTACCTGTCCACGCAGAGTCCAGACGACGCGAACCAAGGCTACCTTGCCAGACATCATTGATGACGTAGGGGGTCTGGCCGAGAGGGGCATCCAGGAAGGTTACACGTGTGGCTTCCAAGTGTGATTGCATCTCGGGAGGCATACACTCGGAAGGTAGTACCATGCACTGACGCGAACCCGCAAGAAACGCAACCTCCTGCATGGTACCACATGGTTGCCTCAGCCACACGGTCACGCCCCGATGACGCTGCACTGGTCCCTGCTTTTGCGCTTGCCGAGGCTGCCGTGGCAATTGGAAAGGGTCTTTGCCACCACGTTGCATCTCACGTGGCAACCGCCACCGACCATCGAACTCCACAACTGAGATCGCCCTGTGTCCCGATGGCAACCGCTGCATCGGAGATGCCTTGCCTTGCCTTGTCCGCACTTCGGCCTTGTCATAGTCAATGACCGCCGATCAGTTCCTGGAAGGACACGGGCAGCAACAGAGGGGTCTCGAAGCCGTCGGTATCCTGGACCTCTGTGACCCGAAGCAGCCCATTGGTCTGGCACACGCCGATGGGAACATCCCAGATGCCAAGGACGTGGGCATTGCCACCAATGCCCGCGCAAGCACCGGCAGGTCCTCGCACTTGGATCGGGCGGAGGCCTTGCTGCGTAAGAGCCTCCTTGAGTCGAGAGAACGCTCCAGACCCTATGACACCTTCTTCTGCTGCACTGTCCACGAGCCCCTGACCGGAGCCGGTTCGCACGCCGGCAAACACCGTGATGTCCTTCGGCACCTGGCGCGCGTCCGGGCTCGCCTTGGTCTGCATGAACGTCCTGTTGACTGCACCCACGCCCTGACTAACCACGAAACTTGCTCGACCGTCAGCAGCAGGTGGTTGTCCGGCAGGGCAGTCCCGACTGAAATGCCCAAGCTCGCCACAGCAGCGGGTGCGTGAGAGCAGGTCACTGGCCGAGCCACGATAAGCACCTTTGCTTCGGCCCTTGACAAGTCGGTCCGGGCGCTTCCCTCGCCCCTTTGCCTTGCCAGCGCCTCGACCCTCGCCTTTGCCCTTCTTGCCCTTCTTCTCGCCCGGCCGAAAGAACTGCCGTCCCTTGCTTCTCGCCTGCATCTCGCGACGCACGTCCTGGTAGGCGGGAAAGCTTGAGGAGTCCTGCTTCTCGCCCTCGAAGTAGATCTGGTTGTAGGCGTCGTTATAGGCCCAGATATACAAGGCCTCCTCTTCGTCGTACTCACGGTCGGCCTCGAAGTAGAGCAGGGGCTCGCCATACTCGTCGGTTCGGGCGGACTAGTCCGTTACCC